ATACCCATCTCTCTCTCTCTCTCTCTCTCTATACCCACTCTCTCTCTCTCTCTCTATACCCATCTCTCTCTCTCTCTCTCTATACCCATCTCTCTCTCTCTCTCTCTATACCCATCTCTCTCTCTCTCTCTCTATACCCATCTCTCTCTCTCTCTCTCTCTCTCTCTATACCCATCTCTCTCTCTCTCTCTCTCTCTCTCTATACCCATATATCTCTCGCTCTCTCTATACCCATCTCTCTCTATCTCACTCTATACCCATCTCTCTCTCTCTCACTCTCTCTCTCTCTCTCTCTCTATACTCATCTCTCTCTCTCTCTCTCACTCTATACCCATCTCTCTCTCTCTCACTCTCGCTCTCTCTCTCTCTCTATACCCATCTCTCTCTCTCTCTCTCTCTCTATACCCATCTCTCTCTCTCTCTCACTCTATACCCATCTCTCTCTATCTCTCTATATCCATCTATCTCTCTCTCTATACCCATCTCGCTCTCTCTCTCTCACTCTATACCCATCTATCTCTATCTATCTCTCTCTTTATACCCATCTCTCTATCTCTCTCTCTCGATACCCATCTCTCTCTCTCTCTCTCCTCTCTCTCTCTCTATACCCATCTCTCTCTCTCTATATATATATATCCATCTCTCTCTCTCTCTCTCTATATCCATCTCTCTATCTATCATTTCAGCTGCACAAAAACAACCAAACTCTGTCTTTTCTCCATCCATCCAGGATCCGACGGCGCTTCTCTTCAGACATACATCTACGTCTTTACACTCAGAAAAACAACGCCCACAGTTGACTCGAGACGACATGCGTGGGAACAACAAACGGCCGCCGCACGAGGAGACGCGAACATACGACGTGCATTCATTATCGTTGGCGCACAGACAGAAGCAGGAACAAAAGGTGAAATTTGTCTCTTGGCAGAAGTCGTTTCCAGAGGCTGTTTCAGTCTTAAGCGGAGGCAGTGGGCCCCTCGTCAGACACTCGAGAGTCGGGTAAAAAAGGATCTCTGCTGCAACCAGAGCTCGGGCGCACTTAGCGTCAGTTGTGCGCCGTCTTTTGTCTCCGCTCGGCCACAGCTGATGAAGTGATGAGGGGTTTGTGAAGAAGGAGCTGGACACCACGACATGAGAGAAACGCTCCGGCTTTGTGGTTGAAGAATGGTGTTGTGTTTGAGTGGGATTTAAAGCAAGTTATCACATGTTGGCAGTGCTGGTATTTTTTCGTCTGCGGCAGGAAGTTATAACCTCATCCTGCAGTAACCCTTACCTTTGGCAGCAAAAATCTGGAAGTCTTTCTGAAAATGTGAGACAGGCTTTTTCTCTAATGTAATGTATAATGTTCAAATCCAGGTTAAAAACAGTTCTGTGTAGCTGGGAATTAATCAGAATGCGTCAGATTAAGATAAAAACTACTCGACTCAACCTCATATGTTATCATTTTTTGCAAAGTGGCAGTAGTTATTTATTTGGTCGCACCGTTTCAAAGATCTCATTCATTTTAGAATCAGAAAAAAACAAACTAAAATGTGTACATGAAGAATCGCTGTGGTAAATAACGCCTGTGGCTGTACGGTGAGTGTCTGTTCTCTCTCTGAAAGTGGAGGTTTGCCGTCCGCCCACCGAGAGAAAACAATTCAATCTCAAACTCTGAAGTGTCTCCCCCCCCCCCCTCCCCTCACCCCTTCCTCCCCCCTCCTGCACTGGACTGTCCACCACCATCTCATCCAACACAAACCTGAATGAAAGAGAAAATAGCGAGCCCAAATGTCAGCAGGGAGTGAGTGCATTCCTGTCTGCCAGTCCCTGTGCTCTCACCCAGAACGAGCCGTGATCCCTGGGACAAAGCTGACCCAGCAGGTGGTCCTATAAAGACATTTTCCTCCCAGAATCAGATCCTTATCCCGGGGGAAGTGCCATAGAGATCCAGATAATGACCAAACCCCAGACCACTGCGGCCCGGTTCCTGCTGGGTCCACCAGGACTTTCATTTCAATTTCTTTACACAAGCGTGCTTTTCATCCGTCTTTCGAGTCCGCGGCTCCACGGCCACGGAATAAATGGGAAACAGTTGAAAGGCAGAATTATCGCTGGACCTGAGCGCTGCTGGAATGCCCGAAATGGGTCAGACTCCGGACATTTGGGCCAGTGAGGAAAAAACAAAACATAGACTGTATGTAGACGGACAATTCCAGCCCCCGAGCTCAAAGAGGAAGTCCTCATGGAGGAAGTTTTTGCTCCAATTCGCTTTCCGATAAACAAAAAAGGACCTGAAAGCAGAATATTGTAGAAAATCAACCTCTCAGAGACGGGATCTTTACGAGCCACCTGGAAGTGTATTCTCAATTTCCTTCAGTTTTTTCAGGTTTTTTTTCAGACAGAACAAAGTCAAGATATGGTTTTTATAGTTTTTGTAAATCACATATACGTCACACATCAAAAGACATGCGTGTCATATCTAGAGACATCGAAAGAACATAACACGGATACACAATCGTAGCAGATACACAATCGGGTCGTTTTATTTATTTTTATATCTTTATTTATATACCGCCTTTTCACTGCACATCGGAGTCTCAAAGCAGTTTACAATTGTGATTTTTGGGAGCGGGGCCAGTACAGGAGGCACATGCCAGACCTATTGTACATATTTTTAGTGGTAGGGGAAACCGGAGCACCCGGAGGAAACCTACGCAGACATGGGGAGAACTCCACTCAGAAAGGCCCTGGTCCAACCGGGATTCGAACTCAGGACCTTCTTGCTGAGAGGCGAGAGTGCTATCCACTCAGCCACCGTGCCGCCGTTGGTCGTTGTGACCTACGGAAGGCCAGATCACTTGTACAGCTAAATGCCACAAATAACAAATCCATAAGTAAAAACTGAAACCGGGAGCAAGACATGGGGACAACACAACAGTGGACCGACAACAGGAAGACAGGAGCACAGATTATAAATACACACAGGGGGACACAGGTGTAAGACATCAGGGCGGGGCCAATCACACAGCGCTGCCAACCTACGCCAAGCCATTGACGTATTAGTCTGAGACCCTCTGTTCCACTGGGGATTACAGGACAATAAAAATAGCTAGAAACAAACTTATTTTTGCTGATGAAAGTAGACAATCCAGTCTTTCAGAATCTGGTTTCATATTTCACAAAGTCTTTGGAAATGATATTCTGTGGGTCTTGAAAATCAGTGAAATCATCAAAAACGGCTGCACTCAATGAGCTGAAATGAATACATTATTTTAATGAAAATTTGAGCAGATTGAATTGTGCATCTGTCCCACACTCACATTCACAAACACACACTCATTCACCTTGAACTTTTGTACATGTTTTTAGTGGTAAGAGAAACCGTAGCACCCGGAGGAAACCCACACAGCCTCAGAGAGAAAATGTAAACTCCACACAGAAAGGCCAAGAGGTGGAATCGAACCCTGGACCTTCTGGCTCCGCCTCCGTGCTGTTCTGTTCACACACATGTTGACTAATGTGCTCCGTCCTGTCCAAATGTATAAATAAATGAATAAAGCAATAGTTTCTGACGACATATGAGGCTATAGAACCAGGAAGAACGGAGAAGATCCTGAAGCCGTGAGCAGGGGGAGGTCTTTCTCATACATATCCGTCACATTCGGCGATGGAACTGAAAACGGTCCCATAAACGGCGCCCTGTCAGAGATGGATGGGATGCGACAGGATTGGTCCCTATCACCAACACAAAAACAATAGCTTTAATCCAAACGGCGGCGGGTGTTATAATTTCATCTGTGTTCCTCATCTCCAGCCGCCGTGTACCGGGGGCCACATAAATGATGCATGAGGAGGAAAATGTCAGCGCCCAAATAAGCAGAAAGCAATTTTGTCACAAGGAAAATGGCCTTTTTAACTTTAGCTGGAGTCTGCGCACCTCGAGTCGGATGAGCTCCTGTTGAAAAATGCCATCAATGCTTCGGGCTAAATGTTCGGCGCCAAAGTCTGGTATTAAAGTCACGGTTAGATACAGGACGGTTCATGTCTGCACGTCTGAGAGCTGTGCCACGAACAGGAAGATGGATTTAAATCAGACCTGTCACGTTTATAAAAGGAGAAAAAGAAATACAAAAAATAATACAACATGTGGCCAAAAGTGGTACTGCAGCCTCTCCCACTCTCCCTGACTCAGGTTGCCAGATATGCAGACGAATCCAGCTGGGACCATAACAGCTGAATAGACAAGAGTTTTGTCAACAACAAATCTATAACCAACACCTTTTTCACAAAGATAGAAATCCTGGTTTTATTCCTTGTTTTGTCGTTAATGATTTGAGAATCATAACGAGACCTTTTTTAGTTCTGCGCCACATGGTACTTTACCAGTGAGATTAGCTCCACACGGTGAGTTCTGGCGCCCGGATCACAGACTTTCTGATTGGTGAAACGGTGGAGGACCAGAAAGGACCTGAATCTACATCTTCAGCGTAATATGGTCTACGTCTAAAATCTCTAACTTTCACATGTCACTTTCACAAGGACCACCCTCTCTCAGCCAATCAGCCGAAAGCATCACAGCAAACAAGGACATGGTTTCTATCAGATGAAGACTGTATTTGCCTAATTTGTTGGTAAAATTATACTCTTTGGGGCAATCAACAGTCATTCTTTACGAAGACAAACACAGAACCTCAGCTTTAATCTTCCCACAATCACTTTGAGTCGTGCAGGTTTCACAGTCTTCCCTCTTGCATTACAGCCCACATGCGATTCCAATGACAACTTTATAAGCTTCGGGATGGAGTCGGTTCTGAACCTCATGCTTACGGCGCTGATTGATGTTTCTGAATAAAAACAGAGTAAGTCTATACACCGCATCATCAGCACGATTCTCCGCGGTGCCGCCGAACACGTCTCTCCGTCTCTGCTTTAGGCAGGACTGTTTTGACAGCACTGATTCAGCTGAGAAGACATTCCATTTGCACTTCATGCCAATTTCCCAGTGTGACGTCCCAATTTACACAATCCTTAAACAACTGGTGCCTTCAGCGGCAGAACCAGGGCGAGTTGGCAGCGCTCCGAGCCCACTTTGCTTCGGCTGATTCTACTTTTATCTCTAGATTCCCACTCGTTTAGGGCAATAATTAAAGAGGCAAAATTGGGTTGTTTTTTTAAGAAGGTCATATGGATTTCTCCTCAAGTCAATTCAATTTAATTTATTTGTGTATAGGCCCAGTAGTTATCTTGGAGGACATTACAAAACCGTCAAATTTGCCAAAACAGATCAGAAAATCAAACAGTTCAAACCAGTGAGGGCAGGTCCCAGATAAAAAGGTCCATGAACACGTGCGCTGACATGCTTGTTATATGGCTCCTTGCTTGTGGGGGTGTACCCGGAAACAGAATTATCCAATGAATTCCTGTGGAGCCTCTTTTTCTCTCAAAAACGTCTTTACAGGATGGTCCAAAAGTCGCTCTTGGACCAAAGCTGCGGTCCTGATGCTGTCGATGCCGAGCGGACGACTGTTTTTTGGACCTGTCTACTTTTGTCGCTGTGGACTTTTGAATGCACTCGTTAAATGAATGGGGCTCGTGAAGCGTATGCATTTGTTAACATTTTCCTGAGGGAGGGGCCACGGTCGTTTTCAAAAAGACGGCAGGAGGGAAAAGTGATGTCACATTAGTTTCAACGGCGGATATGACGTCACTGCATCCGTGCATTGTGCTTTCCCTGGGAATTAATAATACTAATACAACTGACATTTTAGATTATGTATCTCTCACTTTATCAATAAGAAAATGCTTTAACAATTAAACATTTTGTTTTAACAGTCAACAATAAGAGCCACAGTCATGTTCCACTCGTACAAATGCTATGTTGTACAGCTCTGGTGCTAGCAAAGGTGCTATACTTTGCTGTTTTTTTAGTTTTCTGATGTTCGATCAAGTTGCTGGTGTTTGTTTTGGACCCGCCTCGTGAGTTTTAGGCCCCGTTTATACGGAAGCGCTGCTGCAGTAAAACGCTATAGTTGGATGTCGGTTGCTACCCCCCGTTCATACGGAGACTGTGTTCCAGGTGAAAACGTAAGAGTTCAGATCCAGCCTCAGAGTGGGACAGCTCAGATACGCTGCTCAGCAGGGGGCGCTCTTTCAAATCCGCGTAAGGGAAAAAGGTGTGAATTCTCTGCCTGATCTGACCCCCACCTCCTGCTGCTCCCGCACGTACATTTGGACATGTACAGTAGCCAAGAACAAACGTAAACAACAATAACGGCGGGTAGCTAACGAGACCACCCGACCCTCTAGGTTCAGTTTCCATTTTCGCAGCTGCTGTTAAATGCAGAATGATGTTGGTGCATCTTTCATGTCTTGCAGAGGAAGTGAGTATTCTGCGTGTGTCGTGTTGTAAAGTTCTTCTGCCCCCTACTGTCCGGGCGCTAGAACTACATTGTTTTTGATCCTCGTATGAATGTTGTGAAATGTGCATAAGGAGCCTGGTCGTTCCTGTTCATAGCTTGGAAACGTCTGCGCAGCGCCTCCGTCTAAACTGGGCCTTACACAACGTACAGTCCACTCTACTCTTGTCACTCTTCACAAAATCTGCCTCACGGCCGACATTGCAGTTAGCTCTCTTCTCTGTAGCTTGCAACATGTGCTGCACAAATGTGGGTGTCAGTTACCGGGATCAGGTCTTATGGTATGAGTATGAGACCGAGTACAAGGCTATGGTATCGACCTGATACCTGATATCTGATACCAGGGTCGGTGTTGGTGCATCCAGTTCAAACACAAGACATTTAATGATAAAAACACATCGAGCCATTGGTCCATAAGGAGCAGAGACCGTCTATAAATGTTGAGAAAGTTCATAAATGTTTTTGAATGTTTAGTGTCCTGGATCATCACCTCTATATTCACATTGCACGTTTCAGTGAGAATAAAAAAAAGCACTGGTCGTTTTAAAAAGAGTTTATCTGACGGAGAAAATAAGCATTTTTACATTTAAACCATACAGTAAAGTTGACCTAAGAGCTGATGTCATGTGTGGGCCCCGAAGTATCCAGGACTATGATTATTGGAGAATATTGAAGCTCAGAAACAGCTGAGCTCCGTCAGATCTGCATGTGTTTGATATTATGTGGTTGGACTCTGCTTCCAGTGTAAGTGCAGCGGCCGCGATGTGGCTTCTGGATCTGCTTTACGTTACTGTCAGTCCTCTGCCGAAACGTACTATTGTGAATTCAACATTATTGCTTTTACTCAAACTATCATAGTAAAATCAATATGACCTTGCAACTAAAATAAGTTTAAATAATTCTTCGATAAAAACAATAGCTCTCTGTTGGACGCTCAAAGACACTTCACATGTCATTATTCTTTCTCTCCAAACACAGCGGTGATAAACTACTGTAGCCACAGCTGCCCTGGGGCACACTGACAGAAGCGAGGCAACCAGTTTGTGCCATCGGCCCCTCCCACCACCACCAACCATTCACACACACACCAGACTCATTCTAATGTGGGAGTTCTAGTGTTAAAGAACCAACAAGTGGTCGGTGTGAACACCCGCTCTGAAACCCGCACACTCAGCATCGTGTTCCTGTGGACCATATGTGAAAGTCAAACTATATTAAATAATGGATGATGTAGAGCTTCATGAAGCCAAAACATGAGACTGCCTGAATACACACGTGTCAGCAGTATCCTGAAGTATCCTGAAGTATCCTGAAGTATCCTGTAGTATCCTGAAGTATCCTGAAGTATCCTGTAGTATCCTGCAGTATCCTGCAGTATCCTGCAGTATCCTGTAGTAACCTGTAGTATTCTGTAGTATCCTGAAGTATCCTGCAGTATCCTGCAGTATCCTGTAGTATCCTGCAGTATCCTGAAGTATCCTGCAGAATCCTGTAGTAACCTGTAGTATCCTGAAGTATTCTGCAGTATCCTGTAGTAACCTGAAGTATCCTGCAGTATCCTGCAGTATCCTGTAGTAACCTGTAGTATCCTGAAGTATCCTGCAGTATCCTGTAGTATCCTGTAGTATCCTGAAGTATTCTGCAGTATCCTGCAGAATCCTGTAGTAACCTGTAGTATCCTGAAGTATTCTGCAGTATCCTGTAGTAACCTGTAGTATCCTGAAGTATCCTGCAGTATCCTGCAGTAACCTGTAGTATCCTGAAGTATCCTGCAGTATCCTGCAGTATCCTGTAGTAACCTGTAGTATCCTGTAGTATCCTGAAGTATCCTGTAGTAAAGTGAAGTGTCTTGTGTAAGGGCACAACAACAGTTTGGCACTTTACAGCCACAGCCGCCCCACTGTGGCACCTGGTGATCCCGGAGGTCTCCCATCACAGTACTGACCAAGCCCTTCCCAGCACAGTTTCAGAGGTCTGACAGGATCTGACCTTCATTTGCAAGTATGTCCTGCCTTAAGTCTTGCACTGTTGGTGTCTGACTAAATACATGTTACCCTCATCGCTGTGACTCAAGTAGACCTCAAACGTCACATATTAGTCCTTTTAATATTAATGTCCCTCCCCCTCCTCCCCCCTCCCCCCCCCCCCCCCCCTCCTGCAGGGCATCACGCCTGGTTAGCCTCCCTCACCGGAGGCCAATCTGCCGTCCCCGCCTCACCTTCCGTGCATCATTGGCCGCTAACACCTGATACCACCGTGTCGCTAACTCGCAGGCTGCCCACCGTTGCGTCGCCAAATGGCCTGAGACCACCGCCGAGCTGAGGCCGCTCCAGCCGCAAACTCACACTAATTGAGCCCATATGTTCAGAGTGAGTGCACGGCCTTCCCGGCGCTGGCACTGACCACTGCTCACCTCCACGGCCCGGCGCTCAGACTGATGCAGCCGTCACACTGGGGGGGTGAGGGGGGGTGAGCGGGGGTGAGGGGGGGTGAGCGGGGGTGAGCGGGGCCTTCAGGATGGATCATGGACTACAGCCATGGACCGTGTAAACAGGGCCTCAAGAAATGGTCCATCTATCTACTGTATCTGTCTCTTGGGCGGCAGTTTACATGTTCTCCCTGTGCATGCTCCGGTTTCCTCCAGGTGCTGCGGTTTCCACTACTACTAAAAGCATAGGTGTGGAGGTAACGAAAGATTGATGGTGTTTGGTCAGAGGTTTTGATGGGCTCTCTTAACATTGTAAAGCTCTTTGTGTGACCTTGGTCTATAATAATAATGCGCTATATAAATACTATTACTTCCTTGCTATCGCTGTAAACCATTTATAGTTTAGGAAGGATCATCTTGTCCTCTCAGAATAAAAAGGTATTTGGTTCTTTGCCAGATAATTGTGAGTTTGCAATGTTACGACCTTGACCATGAAGTGAGAGAGACCAGAGCGCTGCTGCAGCTGTTAAAAGCAGGACTGAGGGCGATGGGAAGAGACATGAGAGAGACCAGAGAGAGACCAGGGAGAGACCAGAGAGAGACCAGAGAGAGACCAGAGAGAGACTAGAGAGAGACCAGAGAGAGACCAGAGAGAGACCAGAGAGAGACCAAATAGAGAGACCAGATAGAGAGACCAGAGAGAGACCAAATAGAGAGACCAGATAGAGAGACCAGATAGAGAGACCAGAGAGAGACCAAATAGAGAGACCAGAGAGAAAGACCAGAGAGAGACCAGAGAGAGACTAGAGGGAGAGACTAGAGAGACCAGAGAGAGAGACCAGAGAAAGACCAGAGAGATACTAGAGAGAGAGACTAGAGAGACCAGGGAGAGACCAGAGAGAGACTAGAGACACCAGAGAGAGACTAGAGGGAGAGACTAGAGAGACCAGAGAGAGAGACCAGGGAGAGACCAGAGAGAGACCAGAGAGAGACCAGAGAGGACTCAGGCTGTAGAACGAGGACTCGACGGTATGAGAACCCATGATTTCACCGAGCCATGCCCCAAACATAATCCTCCATCATTTGTTCTTGAAGGTTTTTTGATCTTTCTTCATTTTAGCGACACTTTCACAACAACAAAAGCAGCATATTTAACCTGAACCCACGGAGTCTGAGAGAGTTTTCCGTCCGGGGTAAAGTAATTGGATCTCAACATCCTACTCCAGGGCCAGTCCAAACCGAGCCCAACTGACACACAACATGGAGCTGTTCTGTGGGCGGGCGGCGAGTGGCGGACGGCGAGTGGCGGACGGCGAGTAGCGGACGGCGAGTGGCGGACGGCGAGTGGCGGACGGCGAGTGGCGGACGGCGAGTAGCGGACGGCGAGTGGCGGACGGCGAGTGGCGGACGGCGAGTGGCGGACGGCGAGTGGCGGACGGCGAGCAGAAAGTGGCGGGCGGCGAGTGGCGGGCGGCGAGCAGAAAGTGGCGGGCGGCGAGTGGCGGACGGCGAGTGGCGGACGGCGAGTGGCGGACGGCGAGTGGCGGACGGCGAGTGGCGGACGGCGAGTGGCGGACGGCGAGTGGCGGACGGCGAGTGGCGGACGGCGAGTGGCGGACGGCGAGTGGCGAGTGGCGGACGGCGAGTGGCGGACGGCGAGTAGCGGACGGCGAGTGGCGGACGGCGAGTGGCGGACGGCGAGTGGCGGACGGCGAGTGGCGGACGGCGAGCAGAAAGTGGCGGGCGGCGAGTGGCGGGCGGCGAGCAGAAAGTGGCGGGCGGCAAGTGGCGGACGGCGAGTGGCGGACGGCGAGTGGCGGACGGCGAGTGGCGGACGGCGAGTGGCGGACGGCGAGCAGAAAGTGGCGGGCGGCGAGTGGCGGACGGCGAGCAGAAAGTGGCGGGCGGCAAGTGGCGGACGGCGAGTGGCGGACGGCGAGTGGCGGACGGCGAGTGGCGGACGGCGAGTGGCGGACGGCGAGCAGAAAGTGGCGGGCGGCGAGTGGGGGATGTGAGATTCAGTCTGAGTGGAGTTTGCATGTTGCAGGTTTCCTCTGGGTGCTCCAGTTTCCCCTACCACTAAAAACATGCTGAAACATGTTAACAGGGAAATACATTGAACCTGTCTTTCAAAAGAACCACAAAAACATTTGAACTCATCACAACAAAATAAACCTTTTTGAATCAGGCAACACACCGTTACACCGCTTCAAATTCATGCTTCATAAAAAGTAAGATACTTCAGGACATTCAACATCCAACATGTATGAACATTTATTAACATTTATAGACATTGGTTATCCACCTCTCTCTCTCTCTCTCTGACCTCTCTATCCCTCTGTCTCTACCTCTCTCTCGTTCTCCCTCTGGTCTCTCTCTATCTCCGTCTGCTCTCTCTCCCTCTCCCTCTCTCTCTCCCCCTGGTCCCTCTCTCTTTCTCTCTCTCTCTCTCTCTCTCTTTCTCCCTCTCTCTCTCTCCCCCTGGTCCCTCTCTCTTTCTCTCTCTCTCTCTTTCTCCCTCTCTCTCTCTCCCTCTCTCTCCTCTCTCTCTCTCTCTCCCTCTCTCTCTCTCTCTTTCTCTCTCTCTCTCTCTCCTCTCTCTCTCTCTCTTTCTCTCTCTCTCTCTCTTTCTCCCTCTCTCTCTCTCTCTTTCTCCCTCTCTCTTTCTCTCTCTCTGATCTGTGTTGGCAAATCAACAATTTCTCAACGTCAGGTAAATCCTGTAGTGATTTAGAGCTATACAAAAATACATTAAATTGAATCAAATGTTCCCGTACACTGATTTAGGATGAAATACTTTTTTACTGTGTTGGATCGAGACCCCCTGTAGTTGGATCGAGACCCCCTGTAGTTGGATCGAGACCCCCTGTAGTTGGATCGAGACCCCCTGTGTTGGATCGAGACCCCCTGTAGTTGGATCGAGACCCCCTGTAGTTGGATCGAGACCCCCTGTAGTTGGATCGAGACCCCCTGTAGTTGGATCGAGACCCCCTGTAGTTGGATCGAGACCCCCTGTGTTGGATCGAGACCCCCTGTAGTTGGATCGAGACCCCCTGTGTTGGATCGAGACCCCCTGTAGTTGGATCGAGACCCCCTGTAGTTGGATCGAGACCCCCTGTGTTGGATCGAGACCCCCTGTGTTGGATCGAGACCCCCTGTAGTTGGATCGAGACCCCCTGTGTTGGATCGAGACCCCCTGTAGTTGGATCGAGACCCCCTGTAGTTGGATCGAGACCCCCTGTGTTGGATCGAGACCCCCTGTAGCTGGATCGAGACCCCCTGTGTTGGATCAAGACCCCCTGTAGTTGGATCGAGACCCCCTGTAGTTGGATCGAGACCCCCTGTGTTGGATCGAGACCCCCTGTAGTTGGATCGAGACCCCCTGTAGTTGGATCGAGACCCCCTGTGTTGGATCGAGACCCCCTGTAGCTGGATCGAGACCCCCTGTGTTGGATCAAGACCCCCTGTAGTTGGATCGAGACCCCCTGTGTTGGATCGAGACCCCCTGTAGACCCCCTGTAGTTGGATCGAGACCCCCTGTAGTTGTCTGGAAAATCTCTCTTAAAGTAATCCCCAAAAGACTCCTCCAAACACGACACACACCTGCTTTATAAATATCTTTTCTCGTGTATGTCTGGCCTTGAACACAATCCACCGTCGCGTGTTCTGCAGTGACTTTATAATAATGGGCTGGATGAGTAAAGTGCCGGTGAGTGATGAGCAGAGGGGCAGGAGACCTCTCGGCTGGGGGTCCGCTCTGGGGGTCCGCTCTGACAGATGGCGTCCTGTCACTCGGGCCTCATCCATCGTGGCGGGCGCAGCATCCATCAGACTGGACAAAAGGACAGCGCTCGGCTCCAGAGAAGGTCCACGGCATCGGTCTGCGTCCAGGACTGATCCATCACTGCGGCACTTCCTGGTGGGACTGTGGCAGGGGTCTACGGCACGGTGCTCCGGCTCTGAATGTGGAAAAAGAAGCTTCCACGACAGATTCTGACAGGTTTATAAAGCACGCTGCAAAACTGGATGAAAAGTAAGTCAAATTGCGTCGAACGGCCCTCGCCGCACCGCGCGACTCCCCGCACCGCGCGCACCCCCTGCACCGGGCACCCCAGCCACTGATCAAAACTCCCTGAGGTCATTTTGAAGGTACATGTGTTGAGATGATTTGGAACAATTTTGAGGCGAATCAGTGAAACGGCCGAGGAGGAGTCGCTTTCCAACCGACGTGTATGAAAATGATCGGTTTTCATTTTTCCATTTTGCAGTGAAATCTATGGGCTTCCTGTTTGTCAGAGGGCGGGGCCATAATACATTTTTTTCCATGTCTTGACTTGAGGAACATGTGTTCCAAATTACATGGTTCTACGACAATTTTGACCTCGAACCCCTCCTATAGGCATTTTCAAATTTCCTGTTGTAGGTGGCGCTATAGAGCCAATTTCAAAATGTTTACTTTCAAATGATCAAGAACCAAGAATTGAACCATGGATTCAAGTTTTGTGCAAATCAGACTTTGTTTGTGCAAACGGAAGCAATTTTTCTATTGTCAAAAACTGAAAAAAAAGACGCCACTACAGTGCCTTGCGAAAGTATTCGGCCCCCTTGAACCTTTCAACATTTCGCCACATTTCAGTCTTCAAACATAAAGATATCAAATTTAAATTTTTTGTCATGAATCAACAACAAGTGGGACACAATCGTGAAGTGGAACGAAATGTATTGGATAATTTAAACTTTTTTAACAAATAAAAAACTGAAAAGTGGGGCGTGCAATATTATTGGGCCCCTTTACTTTCAGTGCAGCAAACTCAGTCCAGAAGTTCATTGAGGATCTTTGAATGATCCAATGTTGTCCTAAATGACTGATGATGATAAATAGAATGCACCTGTGTGTAATCAAGTCTCCGTATAAATGCACCTGCTCTTTGATAGTCTCAGGGTTCTGTTTAAAGCACAGAGAGAACCATGAAGACAAAGGAACACACCAGGCAGGTCCGAGATACTGTTGTGGAGAAGTTTAAAGCCGGATTTGGATACAAAAAGATTTCCCAAGCTTTAAACATCTCAAGGAGCACTGTGCAAGCAATTATATTGAAATGGAAGGAGTATCAGACCACTGCAAATCTACCAAGACCCGGCCGTCCCTCCAAACTTTCATCTCAAACAAGGAGAAGACTGATCAGAGATGCAGCCAAGAGGCCCATGATCAATCTGGATGAACTGCAGATAACTACAGCTGAGGTGGGAGAGTCTGTCCATAGGACAACAATCAGTCGTGCACTGCACAAATCTGGCCTTTATGGAAGAGTGGCAAGAAGAAAGCCATTTCTCCAAGATATCCATAAAAAGTCTAGTTTAAAGTTTGCCACAAGCCACCTGGGAGACACACCAAACATGTGGAAGAAGGTGCTCTGGTCAGATGAAACCAAAATCAAACTTTTTGGCCACAATGCAAAACTATATGTTTGGCGTAAAAGCAACACAGCTCATCACCCTGAACACACCATCCCCACCTCAGCTGTAGTTATCTGCAGTTCATCCAGAGTGATCATGGGCCTCTTGGCTGCATCTCTGATCAATCTTCTCCTTGTTTGAGATGAAAGTTTGGAGGGACGGCCGGGTCTTGGTAGATTTGCAGTGGTCTGATACTCCTTCCATTTCAATATAATTGCTTGCACAGTGCTCCTTGAGATGTTTAAAGCTTGGGAAATCTTTTTGTATCCAAATCCGGCTTTAAACTTCTCCACAACAGTATCTCGGACCTGCCTGGTGTGTTCCTTTGTCTTCATGGTTCTCTCTGTGCTTTAAACAGAACCCTGAGACTATCAAAGAGCAGGTGCATTTATACGGAGACTTGATTACACTCAGGTGCATTCTATTTATCATCATCAGTCATTTAGGACAACATTGGATCATTCAAAGATCCTCACTGAACTTCTGGACTGAGTTTGCTGCACTGAAAGTAAAGGGGCCGAATAATATTGCACGCCCCACTTTTCAGTTTTTTATTTGTTAAGAAAGTTAAAATTATCCAACAAATGTCATTCCACTTCACGATTGTGTCCCACTTGTTGATTCATGACAAATTTAAAATGTTATATCTTTATGTTTGAAGACTGAAATTTGGCGAAATGTTGAAAGGTTCTAGGGGGCCGAATACTTTCGAAAGGCACTGTACATTATAAACATATTAATTATAATAATACATTTTATTTCTTAGGTGCCTTTCTTGACACTCAAGGTCGCCTTACATACAAGTAAAAAAGTGCATTTTTAAAACAGTTAAAATACAAAGTTAAAAGCATCATGGACAGAGGAGAGTGTGGTTATGATGTTCGTGAGTGGCTCAGGTCTAAACAGATGAGTTTTGAGGTGGATTTGAAGAATGTGAGTGAGTCGGTGTTACGGAGGTCAGGGGGGAGAGTGTTCCAGAGCTGGGGAGCAGAGCGGCTGAAGGCTCTACTCCCCATGGTATATACAATATACAGTGCCTTGCGAAAGTATTCGGCCCCCCTTGAACCTTTCAACATTTCAGGCTTCAAACATAAAGATATAAAAAATATTTTTTTTGTCAAGAATCAACAACAAGTGGGACACAATCGTGAAGTGGAACGAAATGTATTGGATAATTTAAACTTTTTTAACAAATAAAAAACTGAAAAGTGGGGCATGCAATATTATTCGGCCCCTTGCACTAATACTTTGTAGCGCCACCTTTTGCTGCAATTACAGCTGCAAGTCGCTTGGGGTATGTCTCTATCTGTTTTGCACATCGAGAGACTGGAATTCGTGCCCATTCTTCCTTGCAAAACAGCTCAGGTTCAGTGAGGTTGGATGGAGAGCGTTTGTGAACAGCAGTCTTCAGCTCTTTCCACAGATTCTCGATTGGATTCAGGTCTGGACTTTGACTTGGCCATTCTAACACCTGGATACGTCTATTTGTGAACCATTCCATTGTAGATTTGGCTTTATGTTTTGGATCATTGTCCTGTTGGAAGATAAATCTCCGTCCCAGTCTCAGGTCTTTTGCAGACTCCAACAGGTTTTCTTCCAGAATGGTCCTGTGTTTGGCTCCATCCATCTTCCCATCAATTTTAGCCATCTTCCCTGTCCCTGCTGAAGAAAAGCAGGCCCAAAGCATGATGCTGCCACCACCATGTTTGACAGTGGGGATGGTGTGTTCAGGGTGATGAGCTGTGTTGCTTTTACGCCAAACATATCGTTTTGCATTGTGGCCAAAAAGTTTGATTTTGGTTTCATCTGACCAGAGCACCTTCTTCCACATGTTTGGTGTGTCTCCCAGGTGGCTTGTGGCAAACTTTAAGAGACTTTTTATGGATATCTTTGAGAAATGGCTTTCTTCTTGCCACTCTTCCATAAAGGCCAGATTTGTGCAGTGCACGACTGATTGTTGTCCTATGGACAGACTCTCCCACCTCAGCTGTAGTTTCAGAGGTCAAGTTTTTTGTAGAGTCATGAAATTCGGTACACATGTTCCTCTAGTCAAGACATGAAAAAAATGTTGTTATGGCTCTGCCCTCTGACAAACAGGAATTCCATAAATTTAACTGCAAAATGGAAAAATGAACAGCAAAAGTTTTCATACATGTCGGTTGGAAAGCAACTCCTCCTCGGCCGTTTTACCGATTCGCCTCAAAATCACTCCACATCATCTCAACACATGTACCTTCAAAATGACCTCAGGGATTTTTGATCAGTGAAACGTTGTTTGAGCAGCGGAGCTGCAAAATGTGACCTTTGTTTGGCCGTTTTGGACAATATTAAATTTGCTCCCGTTTGCACATACAAAGTCTGATTTGCACAAAACTTTAATACATTGTTTAACTCTAGGGTCTAGGTCAATTGAAAGTGAAATAAAAGAACTTGGCTCATTAGTGCCCCCTACAGATGGAGTCAAAGTTTTCAGAGTTTTTCATACTAAAAACTCTGAAATAGTCTGTAGGGGGCGTTAATGAGCCGAGTTCAATTATCATAATCAGAACACATTCTGCCTTAAAACAAGATTTTCCATAGGACTTTAGACATCTGTATAAAGTTAGCATAGGACTTTAGACATCTGTATAAAGTTAGCATAGGACTTTAGACATCTGTATAAAGTTAGCATAGGACTTTAGACATCTGTATAAAGTTAGCATAGGACTTTAGACATCTGTATAAAGTTAGCATAGGACTTTAGACATCTGTATAAAGTTAGCATAGGACTTTAGACATCTGTATAAAGTTAGCATAGGACTTTAGACATCTGTATAAAGTTAGCATAGGACTTTAGACATCTGTATAAAGTTAGCATAGGACTTTAGACATCTGTATAAAGTTAGCATAGGACTTTAGACATCTGTATAAAGTTAGCATAGGACTTTAGACATCTGTATAAAGTTAGCATAGGACTTTAGACATGTGTATAAAGTTAGCATAGGACTTTAGACATCTGTATAAAGTTAGCATAGGGCTGTATTTGTCAGTATATAGTTAGCATAGGGCTGTATTTGTCAGTATAAAGTTAGCATAGGGCTGTAGTTATTGGTATATAGTTAGCATCGGGCTGTAGTTATTGGTATATAGTTAGCATCGGGCTGTAGTTATTGGTATAAAGTTAGCATAGGGCTGTATTTGTCTGAATCAGTGGTGGATCACGCTAACTGTTGGGAGCAGGTGCACATTGGTTCTTTATACAGTCTGACAGTGGCCTGCGCCTGTGTGTCTCCGCCCTCACACCTCCTCTCTGTCTCTGTGGGAGGCCCCCGCCAAGAACAAAAGCCTCCACAATAAAACCCATTAGCATTTTGTTGGATTTGAATTCAGGCCAGAGCCGCACTGTCCAAACACTAAACGGACGAGTGTTTGTTTACTCTGCTGTTTCAATACTGATTAAAATAAGAATGACCCAGAGGCGCGGCTGCAGTTATGGAGCACGTGGGCACTTTTGAAGGGAAAGCAACGAGAAAACAGAAGCAGCAGAAGCCTGGAAGTCGGCCAGCGGTGACGGTTACTGCCCTAGGGCACCGCCGCAGATGCCCACGGAGAGAGCAGACAAGAGGAGGCGACTTCTGTGACGGTTTCATCAGTATCTCTGAAGTCTCTTTACTCTACTCATCTGTGCAATCATAACTTAATGTCGGAAAGTGCAATGTGTCCCATAGCCTCCTGCTGCTAACATGTACAGATGTATACACACAATTATATATTCATTAGACTGTCAGACTGTACAATAAGTCACTAATGCACTAGGACTGAAAAACCTGCACAGCTATTGCCACTTGTTAATGCTGCAATTTACAGTCAATCCTGACAAAATCACAAACACAAAAGGCATATTAAAAACTAATTGTATCCCATTCACGCACAAATACGTCAAAGCAAATAGCAACGTCATGTGCCATTGACGCATTAATACGTCATTTTTCGCTATTTTCACGTTCCCAGATGTCTATTGTATCTAATATGTATGGGGATGACTTGAGACCATATTTAATCGAGCAGGTGGCAGCATTTCTCTCTGAATGGTTTGAAAACAGTTAGGTGCACATGTTGTGCCTCTTTTTTCTCAACTTTCTGGTGATTTCAGTAAAACTTCCCTCTACTCGACGGAGGATTACAGGGGAACGAAAAAAGCTATAAACAAAATTCTTTTTGCTGAGGAAATTAGACAGTCCATTCTTTTAGAATCCGGATTTCAGATAGTCATAGTACACAATATTCTGTGGCACTTGAAAAATCAGTAAAAATCATCAGAAATGGCTGGCACTGTGGGAGTACCTGTTCTGATAGGCTGGCATTCTTTTATACTTGGTTGTCTTTCCAAGGAGATGTCTTAAGAGAAAGAGCACATCCAGCCCAGCCTCCTTCCAAACATGTCTGCCTTTGGTCAGGCTGCAAGCAGTATATCAGGAGATAAGACACACCTCCACTTCCACAGACACAGCTTCACAATGAGACCTTTAGTATTTAGCATCAATCAAAGAAACAGTGGCAGTCTGATCAGGCCTAGTCTGGTCCCATCTGCAGACGACCCCCAGAAGACTGGTCCCATCTGCAGACGACCCCCAGAAGACTGGTCCCATCTGCAGACGACCCCCAGAAGACTGGTCCCATCTGCAGACAACCCCCAGAAGACCGGTCCCATCTGCAGACAACCCCCAGAAGACTGGTCCCATCTGCAGACGACCCCCAGAAGACTGGTCCCATCTGCAGACGACCCCCAGAAGACTGGTCCCATCTGCAGACAACCCCACGAAGACTGGTCCCATCTGCAGACGACCCCACAAAGACTGGTCCCATCTGCAGACAACCCCCAGAAGACCGGTCCCATCTGCAGACAACCCCCAGAAGAACGGTCCCATCTGCAGACGACCCCCAGAATTCCGGTTCCATCTGCAGACGACCCCCAGAAGACTGGTCCCATCTGCAGACGACCCCCAGAAGACTGGTCCCATCTGCAGACGACCCCCAGAAGACTGGTCCCATCTGCAGACAACCCCACGAAGACTGGTCCCATCTGCAGACGACCCCACAAAGACTGGTCCCATCTGCAGACAACCCCCAGAAGACCGGTTCCATCTGCAGACGACCCCCAGAAGACTGGTCCCATCTGCAGACGACCCCCAGAAGACTGGTCCCATCTGCAGACGACCCCCAGAAGACTGGTCCCATCTGCAGACAACCCCACGAAGACTGGTCCCATCTGCAGACGACCCCACAAAGACTGGTCCCATCTGCAGACAACCCCCAGAAGACCGGTTCCATCTGCAGACGACCCCCAGAAGACTGGTCCCATCTGCAGACGACCCCCAGAAGACTGGTCCCATCTGCAGACGACCCCCAGAAGACTGGTCCCATCTGCAGACGACCCCACAAAGACTGGTCCCATCTGCAGACAACCCCCAGAAGACCGGTTCCATCTGCAGACGACCCCCAGAAGACTGGTCCCATCTGCAGACGACCCCCAGAAGACCGGTTCCATCTGCAGTCTCTGGCAGAGAGAGAACAGACGGAAGCAGAGAGTTTGTGTTTGAGGCTCTAGACCTGCCGCAGAGACGGAGCAGACACACGACCAGGCCCCGGTGATCACACTTAGTGGCTTTCTCTCCAAACACAGTGGAGAACTACCACAGAGCCACAGCTGCCCCGGGGCACACTGACAGAAGTGAGACGAACAGTCTGCGGGACATCTTGCTTTGCTAACAGCTTCTTTCCACAAGCTGCTCCTTCATGTTCTTCCACTTGTGTTGAAACTGTTTTGTTCAATCAGGAGCAACGGGAACAGACAACAAATGAGTATTATTAGATTTGTACATATATATATATATACATATATATTGTTGGTTGTAATCTGACACTGCATCAATCACACAAATACAACTCTGAGGACAATATTTTCAAGATTATTGCTGCTGTACAGAATGTGGTTAGGATTTGGCCTTAGACCCCGACAGAGACCTGTACGACTGCAGAAGGGGAACGAGATTATGAGATGAAATCCCCCGGGGCCTAGACTCTGGTGGTGGGAGCAAGGAGAAGGATGAAGGAGCTGGAACGAGGCGGAGATGGGGAGGAGGAGGGTTGCGGCCATAGACTGTATATATTAATGGACAGAGTCACGCCTATCTCCGCCGTTCTAACTAATGGGCCAAAAAATGTGCTCTACTGGAGCAATCCAAAATGGCCGCGAGTGGTCCCGCCCACAAGAAAATTGTGAAAAAACGCATCTGCGCATGCGTCAGCCGGAGAGAGCTCCATTCATTTGAACGAGAGACTTCAAAAATTCACAGCAAGTAAACTAGAGTGGACCAGAACACTCCCCTCAGCATTGACACACATGTGGAACGGAGCTTTGGGCCAAGAGCCAACTTTTGGTCCATCCTGTAAAGACGTTTTTGAGAAGTCTGCCAATGCTATATGTTAGCATTGGCTAATTCTTCTTCTGGGTCCACCCCCACAGGCCCGGGGTGGTACTGCAGCATGTCAGCGCACGTCATTTTGGCCACTTTTGAGCTGGGACCCTCCCCCACTGGTTGCGGCGTGAACGAAGCTGCTGCTTGGATGGAGCTTCCTCGCAATATGAAGCTGATGGGCACCTCGAAGAAATGGAGCTTCAAGTGCCATAGAACCAAGCGACCAAAAAGGGCTAAGTTTTAATTTTGCTCCTGGAGTCAAAGGCGCATTGCAGCAAGTGATGAAAAATAGGTCAAAAATGTCTCAAAATTGACTAAATGTGTCTTAATCTGAGCACATTCTGACTGAGCCTTAAAACAAGATTCTCCAATGGGTCAAAGCAAAATGATCTTGTTTTAAAAAAGATACAGACATGTCTCGCTTGGAATGAGAAAATAAATCAAGAGTTCTTGAAATGAGTTCGAATCCCGGTCGGAGCAGGGTCTTTCTGGGTGGAGTTTGCATGTTCTCCCCGTGCTTGCGTAGATTTCCTCCAGGTACTCCGGTTTCCCATACAATTATGCTCACTGGGTAAAATCCTCCAGCTCTGGTCCTGACCAACCCGAGCATCAACATCTGGAGATGGGTTCCCGGGCGCTGTTACTACGGCGACCACTGCTCCTGACCTAAAGCCTAGTGTATACTTGCGCGGCGCTGCTTACGTTAGCGGTTGCGGTGGACCTACGCAAGAACAATTTAATTTATACTCCTTGCGGAGTTTTGAGGAGAATGTTGTAATCATACAACCAACCACATGATGGCGATCTCACAGGAGTTGCCTGAGAAACCTAAGCGGTCTCGTTTACGCTGCTACTTTCTCCTCTTCAAAACAAAAACATGAACAAACCGATCTGTTTGAGATCATTACATGTGTTTCTACTGTAGGTTTATATGACAGTTCTATGGACTCATTTAACTGTGATGCTGTGAATAAAGACACAGTTCTGTTGGAAACATAGTTGTTATTAAATTGTATTCAGCAAAAACAGCAAAACAATAAAAGTGGTAAATATCTGAGACAAACATGAACAATTTATAAGTGCAGGAGGAATGGAACAGACGCGATAAGCTACGAGTGCAGATTCAGACAAGACAGGAACAGTTTATAAGTTATATATAAGTTATATATATGTTAAACATGCAACAGAACTCTAGTCCACAGTCTCCTGTATATCAGGCTCTGAGCCCAAACTACTTTTCCTTTGGTTTCTTCGAAGCGTGAAGCTCTCTGCTCCATAGAGCCTCGTCCATGCTCCTGCTGCAGCCGCTCCGTGCTTCCTTCCAATACACACACACGGACCAATCACAGCGGAGCTTCCTTGCGGCGACCCTTACGTAGTTAGAAAATTTCGATGCTGCGCGGCAGGCGACGTAAGGGCCTTGCGGTGACCAGCAAGTGACGTCACGTCACCTCCGTAAGCTCCGCGCGAGTATGAACTAGGCTTAAGCCTTAGAGCATCAGGATGGGTCAAATGCAGAGGATGAATTTCCCTCCGGGGATCAATAAAAGTGCACCTTTAAATCAGACCAAATATCTTTGTTCCGTTGGATGATTTTAGTTTAACACAGTCACAATGTCTCAGTCGGATTAATTTCACAAAAAATAATGGTATAGAAATAAATGACACCAATAAAAAAAGATATGTTTAAAGAAATGATTATAAAGAGCGGTTTGAGGATGTATATGTTCCACAGACAGAGCTCTGAGGTCGTTGTGGTCGTATAGAATCAGTGCATTCAGATCAATGACAGACATCACCATCTTCCTCACCGTCCTTTCTCCGTCTGTCTTTCATCTCTCGCACATATTCTCGCCGCTCCGTGTTGTCTTTGATGGGCTTCGATCTAACCCTCGCTGTCTGTCTTTTGAGTGGCACCTGAAAAACGCTCTCCGACTATATTGTTACACGCCAAGACCTTGTTTAAGCCCCATTGTACAGAGCGCGTGCGTTTGCGACGGCCTATTCCCGGCAAAACACCCGAAGGTTACGGGCGCCGCATGCTCCGCGCTGGATCCAAATCAATCCCGAAACAAAGGAAACCATCGAACCAACGCAGCTTGAATACCAATTTTATCTCAACAAGCAGGGATTGGTATCGATGTGGGATGATGGAGGCCTGTCCGTGACGCGCCGCTGCTGACAGAGATACAGCCGCCTCTACAGCCGCCTCTCAGCAGCTCTCTGAGGCGCTGGTTTCCTCCAGGCGCTCCCAGGATATCAGTCTGTACCTGTGTGCCGCGACCGGGGCCTGGACGCCCCACAGAGAGAGAGATGGAAGAAGATGGAGGACACAGATAATGTTAATCTCTATTCGACGAAGCAGTGTTCTTGTGCCTGGTGTTGGAAGTTTTTGTTTAGTTTTGGAAGGTTTCTTTTCTCAGTAATTTAATGTTAATTATTTGTGTTTTGCCCAGAACCACTGGTCCATCGGGAGTTCTTATGTCCATAGGCTAAAGTCTGTAAATGTAAATAAATGTCACGGATCATCACTGTCATAAGCCCTCTGCAACAATTTATTGGGGGACCTGAGGCTGTAGACCCAGGACTGAGGCTGTAGACCCAGGACTGAGGCTGTAGATCCACGACTGAGGCTGTAGATCCAGGACTGAGGCTGTAGACTCAGGACTGAGGCTGTAGATCCAGGACTGAGGCTGTAGACCCAGGACTGAGACTGTAGATTCATGACTGAGGCTGTAGATCCAGGACTGAGGCTGTAGACCCAGGACTGAGGCTGTAGACCCAGGACTGAGACTGTAGATTCATGACTGAGGCTGTAGATCCAGGACTGAGGCCGTAGACCCAGGACTGAGGCCGTAGATCCAGGATTGAGGCCGTAGATCCAGGACTGAGGCTGTAGACCCAGGACTGAGGCTGTAGATCCAGGACTGAGGCTGTAGACCCAGGACTGAGGCTGTAGATCCAGGACTGAGCTGTAGACCCAGGACTGAGGCTGTAGACCCAGGACTGAGGCTGTAGATCCAGGACTGAGCTGTAGACCCAGGACTGAGGCTGTAGACCCAGGACTGAGGCTGTAGATCCAGGACTGAGCTGTAGACCCAGGACTGAGGCTGTAGATCCAGGACTGAGGCTGTAGACCCAGGACTGAGGCTGTAGACTCAGGACTGAGGCTTTAGACCCAGGACTGAGGCTGTAGACTCAGGACTGAGGCTGTAGATTTGTTTTTCTCTCTCAAACAGATTTACCAACATTACCCTAAAAACGTCCTTACTTTCAGCAGCGTCAATGAAAGCCATCAGTAGTTTTTGCCGGTCCATGAAAACACCGTGCGTGGCGTGATCGCGGCTAATGAGGCTTCTCCAGAACCCATTTGGGTCCCGGTCGTACAGATGGGGTTCTCTCTCACTTTCAAATTAAGCACTTTCTTGTCATCGGCGACGATCCGGACGCTTCCAGGACCGAGGAGACTACAGTGTCCTCTCTCCGCAGATATAACTCACCGGGATCGATAAAAACATTTCCCACATTCAGGAATCGATGAGAGAAATGTGAAGAGTTTTTTCTGTTATTGAGCCGCGAACTGTAAACTGGAAATTATACGATCACCTCTGTAACCTTTGGACTCACAACTGATGTTAATGTTGTTGTTGATCTACAGCCTCAGTCCTTGGTCTACAGCCTCAGTCCTGGGTCTACAGCCTAAGTCCTGGGTCTACAGCCTCAGTCCTGGATCTACAGCTCAGTCCTGGGTCTACAGCCTCAGTCCTGGGTCTACAGCCTCAGTCCTGGATCTACAGCTCAGTCCTGGGTCTACAGCCTCAGTCCTGGGTCTTCAGCCTCAGTCCTGGGTCTACAGCCTCAGTCCTGGGTCTACAGCCTCAGTCCTGGGTCTACAGCCTCAGTCCTGGGTCTACAGCCTCAGTCCTGGATCTACAGCCTCAGTCCTGGGTCTACAGCTCAGTCCTGGATCTACAGCCTCAGTCCTGGGTCTACAGCTCAGTCCTGGATCTACAGCCTCAGTCCTGGGTCTACAGCCTCAGTCCTGGGTCTACAGCTCAGTCCTGGATCTACAGCCTCAGTCCTGGGTCTACAGCTCAGTCCTGGATCTACAGCCTCAGTCCTGGGTCTACAGCCTCAGTCCTGGGTCTACAGCCTCAGTCCTGGGTCTACAGCCTCAGTCCTGGGTCTACAGCTCAGTCCTGGATCTACAGCCTCAGTCCTGGGTCTACAGCTCAGTCCTGGATCTACAGCCTCAGTCCTGGGTCTACAGCCTCAGTCCTGGGTCTACAGCCTCAGTCCTGGGTCTACAGCCTCAGTCCTGGGTCTACAGCCTCAGTCCTGGATCTACAGCCTCAGTCCTGGATCTACGGCCTCAGTCCTGGGTCTACGGCCTCAGTCCTGGGTCTACGGCCTCAGTCCTGGGTCTACGGCCTCAGTCCTGGGTCTACAGCCTCAGTCCTGGATCTACAGCCTCAGTCCTGGATCTACGGCCTCAGTCCTGGGTCTACGGCCTCAGTCCTGGGTCTACGGCCTCAGTCCTGGGTCTACGGCCTCAGTCCTGGGTCTACAGCCTCAGTTGACGCTGCTGAAAGTAAGGACGTTTTTAGGGTAATGTTGGTAAATCTGTTTGAGAGAGAAAAACAAATCTAGTCTCAGTCCTGGGTCTACAGCCTAAGTCCTGGGTCTACAGCCTCAGTCCTGGGTCTACAGCCTCAGTTCTAGATGTTTGCGTTTATAAAAGATAAAAATACAGTTTGTTTGAAAACTTTAAAACAGCTCTTATCGGTGCAAGTCCCTGTGACATGTTCACAGGGACTCTGAGGAGCACAGGGACTGGCCTCCTGCTGGGACTCTGAGGAGCACAGGGACTGGCCTCCTGCTGGGACTCTGAGGAGCACAGGGACTGGCCTCCTGCTGGGACTCTGAGGAGCACAGGGACTGGCCTCCTGCTGGGACTTTGAGGAGCACAGGGACTGGCCTCCTGCTGGGACTCGGAGGAGCACAGGGGACTGGCCTCCTGCTGGGACTCTGAGGAGCACAGGGACTGGCCTCCTGCGGGACTCTGAGGAGCACAGGGACTGGCCTCTGCTGGGACTCTGAGGAGCACAGGGATGGCCTCCTGCTGGGACTTTGAGGAGCACAGGGACTGGGCCTCCTGCTGGGACTCTGAGGAGCACAGGGACTGGACTTAATGCCTTGTGTGATTGTTTCTATCTGCAGAACGTTGAGTTGGCAACTGTTCTATAAAATAAACTTGTGTTGCCTTTCCTTTGGCTACAAACACTCATTTACAATACTCAAATTAGTATCTCGTTGCTAGTTTTTGTAGCCTATAAATTAACACCTGTTTCTCTTTCTATTTTACAACCCTAGAGCAATGCAATACATTAGAACGTGGCAGAAACAACACTTTCTAGCCTTGTAGCTTAGCCTGCTACAAAACACAACATGTATATTAAATAATACAAAATGAATCTGAATTTTGAAAAAGTCCAAATCCCAACTCAAGCAGCACTGAGGCTCCAAGATTTACGACTGAGCATCATGAGCGAGGATTATTTTGGGACGGTAAACATATTCCACCTGATGCATCGGTCACATAGCACACATGCTCAAGCTAGCACCTGTCGGAGAGGGGGGGGTCATTCCAGCGCTGGTTTTGGACGAGCCTCTCAGTTACAGAAGCGTCTGTGCTGGCCCCCACCCCCCTCTCTCTGGCCCCGCCCCCCTCTCTGGTCCCGCCCCCTCTCTGGTCCCGCCCCCCTCTCTGACCCCGCCCCCTCTTTCTGGTCCTGCCCTCCTCTCTCTGGCCCCACCCCCTTCTCTGGCCCCAGCCTCTTCTATCTGGTCCTGCCCTCCTCTCTATGGCCCCGCCCCCCTCTCTGACCCCGCCCCCTCTTTCTGGTCCTGCCCTCCTCTCTCTGGCCCCACCCCCTTCTCTGGCCCCAGCCTCCTCTATCTGGTCCTGGCCCTCCTCTCTCTGGCCCCACCCTCCTCTCTCTGGCCCCCCACCCTCTCATCTGGCCCCACCCTCCTCTCTCTGGACCTGCCCTCCTCCTCTCTGGCCCCGCCCCCCCCCTTTCTAGCCCCGCCCCCTCTCTGGTTCCTCACTTTGCACGCCTGTTATGGCAGCTCTGACATGATTGATGGAGCAGTCACACTCAGGGTTAATTTCCACGTCTGCTGAATAATGTATGGCTGTGTTTCGGTTCTCTCCGCTCTCGCCGCATGGGGCCCGCCGCTGTTTGGACCAATCAACACGTTTGTGCTGGAGATGGCTGGAGGCTTGACCATCTCTGAGGCCACCACGCTCCCGGGACCCATGCATTATTCAGCCGCTGGAAATGGTGAGCTGTATATGAATGAATAAAAACAGCCTCTGGAGGGTTTTTGACTAAAGCGTTGCCATTTTGGAAGCGTCCCGCTGTTTTGCTTTTTATAACAGTAATGTCACCACACGTTTTATGTTTCAAGCTGTGCGTGTCGAGTACTGGTGATGCTTTTGAGGACAGTCCCCGCGCTGGAAGCATCAGGACTGACTTGTTACTAGTGACACGGCTGGTTTATAAAGCAGTCATTGACAAAAAAAAATCATTTACGATGGATTTTTGTCATGAAGACTAAACCAAAACTAATACAAAATGACTTAAAACTTCCTTGACAACCCCATAACTGACATGGTTAAGATAAGATGGACTTGATCTCACAGTAGAGAAATGTACAGGGTTCAAATGTACAGTGTTCAAAGCCCTCACACTGATTTCATTTTAACACCTGGAACAGTCTTCCTGAAAATGTGAAAGGAGCTACTTATAATAATAATAATTTCAACAATAATAATAATCTAAATTAATAATACATTGGTTTTATACAGCGCTTTTTGGACACTTCACATCATTATCATTTCTCTCCAAACACGGTGGTGATTAACTTCTACTGTAGCCACAGCTGCCCTGGGGCACACTGACTGAAGCGAGGCAACCAGTCTGTGCCATCAGCCCCTCCCACCACCACCAACCATTCACACACACACCAGACTCATTCTAATGTGGGGGAAGTGTCTTGCCTAAGGACACAACCACAGCTTGGCACTTTACAGCCGCAGCAATGTTCAAATCCAGGTTTAAAACAGTTAAACACAAATAAAAACACAAACTGAATCCGTCAGTTGGAACAGGATGAGAAAGCTCCAGGAAAAGTTACATCTCTAGACACTTGTTAAGAAACTGCTTAACTCTGCCACAAAGTAAAAGGTAAATAGGAGGATCTTCTACTTCCTGGTGGATCATCAAGACTATTGGTCCTCCTAGTTGTCAATCATTCTGGTGATCCTCGTCAAACAAGACCAAAGAGTTGTATTCAAAAAGTGGAGAGGGTTCTTTCGTAGAATGTGGGAAATCCTCCTAAAAAACCCTTAACAATACTAGACAATACAACATCTCAGAGGACGTGGCGGCACGGTGGCTGAGTGGATAGCACTCTCGCCTCTCAGCAAGAAGGTCCTGGGTTCGAATCCCGGCCGGACCAGGGCCTTTCTGAGTGGAGTTTGCATGTTCTCCCCGTGTCTGCGTAGGTTTCCTCTGGGTACTCCGGTTTCCCCTACCACTAAAAATATGTACAATAGGTCTGGCATGTGCCTCCTGTACTGGCCCCGCTCCCATCTCTGTGTGGAGTGAGAGGACAAGTGCCAAATAATAACAATTGTAAACTGCTTTGTGACTCTGGTCTGTGAAAGGCGGTATATAAATAAAGATTACTTACTTACTTACTTTATGAAACCATTGAAATCACCAAAATAGATCAGAGAATCGACAACAATAGAACACGTAAGTATTGGTCCATATGGAGAAACCAATGTCCATGAATGTTGAAAAATGTAGAATGTTAAAGTGTCCTGGATCATCACAGTCCTTTTGATAGACAATATCAATAGGGTTTTGTTAGGGTTATAGAGCCATTGGTTCATGAGCGACAGAGACCAGTGTCCATAGATGTGGACACTGGGTTATAGAGCCATTGGTTCATGAGCGACAGAGACCAGTGTCCATAGATGTGGACACTGGGTTATAGAGCCATTGGTTCATGAGCGACAGAGACCAGTGTCCATAGATGTGGAGTGTCTCTGTCTTTTCACCCTTCTGCATCAATATATAGGAAGTCTTATCTTATCTGCATTGTATCTATTGTTTTCTGGTTTCAAATTGTAGTAATCCAGATCGCTGCGGTCACAACACTGCAGTCATGTGACATTTATCAACATTTGTGGACATTGGTCTCTGCCCCTTTATCGACCAATACCAATGTGTTTTCTGTTCTGTGTCTGAACTGTCTGATTCTTTGATCTGTGTCAGAGAAATCAACGGTTTTGTAATGTCCTCTGCGATAACTAGAACACATTGAATTAAACTGCAGTCCTATTCATGCGTGGCTGGGGTTGCACATGTCTGGATCTTACAGTGAGAGAGACTGACGACACCACTCCAACATGTCCGCCCCCCGCCCCCCGCCCCCCCCTCCCCCCCTCTCCGCACCCCAGTCCCACGCTCAGAGGCTGGGGTCACTGGATGAAGACAGTCCTTGACAAACGGGACGTGCCGGTGATTGATGGAGAGCGTTGATGCCGGGACACGGGACCAGCCCTCTGAGCCAACATGTGCCAGTCTCTCCAGTGTGTCCCGGACCTCCCGCTGCTCCCGTCCCCAGTCCTCTGGGGCGCCATTTTTCATCAATGACAATCCTACGGCTCAGCACTTTCCCAGGCCACGCTCGGGCTCCGGCCTGAGAGAAGAGGCACTTCAGAAACAACAGGATTATAGTGAGTTCTGTGGATGATTGTTACTTAATGTGTGTGTGTGTGTGTGTGTGTGTGTCTGTGCGCGTGTGCGTGTGCGTGTGTGTGTGTGCGCGTGTGTGTGTGTGTGTGTGATCTGATTTGTGATGTTTTGTAATGTCCATAGTTCAAATAGATAAATATATACTTAAAGGGGACATATCATGAAAAATCCACTTTTTGTGCCTTAAATGCCTTATGTTGTGAAGTTGGAGCCTCTAGAAGTGCAAAAAAGTTGAAGTCTCTTCATGGGTTGCAGAGAACACTTCATATTCTGTTTAGGTAAGATTTTTCAACCCGTTCTGATTTTGCCATTCTCTATTACGTGTTTAGAATTATTACGCCACAGTGTTTGCAGCGAGACTGCCATATAAGGGCATGGACGTCTAACAAAACACTTCGGCCCAGCCCTCCTCTACTGTGCATCACTTAATTTGTAGTCCAAGCTCAAGGATGCCAGCGAACAGGGCTAGACTGGCCATCGGGCGTACCGGGCAATGCCCATATTTGGGCCGGTCTGTCTGCCTCATACAAAACACATGTTTATGAGAAGTGTAAATCCGTTGAGAATTGTTGGAGCGGGGCACCTGCTGTATGTACTTGAACGGGATTCCGCCACCTCAGCGGCCGCAGTGTTCCGGGGCATCTGCGGCCGCTTTGTAATGAGCAGCTTCCGCGTCCAGCGGCTGCGAGAGGCTGTGAGCGTCCAGCGGCTCGCAGCCGCTCCACCGTGTTGTGACTGAGCGCGCAGCCTCAACGTGGCCATGTACCCAACCCCATAAACGCAGGACCATGCGTGTCTTTGAGTAATCTGTGCACCCAATAAATACACTGCTGCAGGAAACAGTCCGCGTCTCCCCTCTCCTCTCGAAGCGCGATTAAACGCCCTAAATAAAGCTCTGATACCTACATTTTGCATTGCATTAAAAGTTCATGTTTGAGCCCAAAAGTAAAATGTTGTGAACAAATTAAACAGATTAAGAGCCAGCAAATGGCTGACAATATGCATTTCAGTCTTTTTTGACCAATTCTCATCCCTGTAACAAACAATAGTGTTGTCTGTGTCCACCTCCTTCACTCTGAGACATGTTCATTACTCTCTTTGATGTAGACTATTGCATTTTATTTTATTGTTGAAACTGCACATATCCTGATCCTCTACAGCAGCCATTCCCAAACTCAGTAACACCGAGGCCCCCTTAAAAATCTGACGGGTCTGCGTGGCCCCCCAAAATAATAACCAAGAAGACAACATTAAGAATAGGCTCTTCTGGTTATTTTATTTTGGGGAAATAGCCTCTGCTACAAACATTGTAATACAAAAATGATTACAGTGGATTATTCAAGTCAAATAATGAACACAAATATTTTAATATTACAAACAAAACATTATAAATTTAACATTAAATAATTATATTATTTTTTTATTTTTTTTATGACCTCCCGCGGCCCCCCTGCAGTACCCTCGCGGCCCACCAGGGGGCCGCGGACCCCACTTTGGGAGACACTGCTCTACAGTATTTGCTTCCACATATATTGACCAGATGCATCGACGTCATCCAGTCACATGATTGTGAATGAGCTTACGGCGGAAGTATTGGAAACTAGCATTGCTGCGAGAGCAAAACGGACACAACTCTTAAAAACGGAGCTTCCTCTCCTAAATCGAGAAGTGGCTGCTTCAAGCACATGTTCGATTACGTTATTGGTGGAAGTAGGACATCAGGTCAGGGCTCACAAAGAGTGGTATTTGGAGAAGTTAAGGATCGCCGAACTGGATGTTGACCCGTACCTTTCTCCCCCAGTCAATTTTATCGATTAAATAAAATGTCTATTTTTGCCCAAATTCACCCTGATCTTAATCATTATCGTAAACAATGCATCCCCTCACACTGGAGCAGATTTATATGTACATTTTGCTGGTAGCATTAACAATAGTCCACTTTTCTGTGGCTTTTCTGTCTACAGCCAAACATGATACGTACTGACGGAGAGGAAAATAGTGAAACACGCAATTGACTTAAAAGATAAAAATGTCAATGTTGCAGCGCACATACAGGACAGTAGTAAGAGACACGTTTGACGTGTGTCATTGTCCTCCAAATTAATGGAAATAAAATAAATACAAACTTGTGATTGCTTTATCTTGTAAAAAGTGTTCACTGCATATTAGGGAGTGCTTGGATGGGTCCCAGTCCTTTTGGTTGATTGCCGCCATCATCGTCGTCTGTCTTCATGACGAGCAGGTATCAGATAAAAAAGCTTATGTCCTAGTCTGTTAGTATAATCAACCGCACTGCAAAATGTCACAGTTTTGGCTGTAATGCGCTGAAACAGGTTGTTTTGGTCAGGTGTCCGTAGGCTCCAGTTAGACTTCTGCCGTCTGTCATGGAGAGTGGGCGTGGCCGGGACGTCACATGCAAGGGGCCAATAAACTAGGAGTCGGCAACCTGCAGCTCCGGGGGCCCATGCGTCTTTTTCCTTCTGTAGAAGGAAAAACGTTCTTAACGTTTTTAAATGCTATAAAAATGTGCACAAGTAATATTCAATTTAAACATTTCTGTCAACGTAGTGTGTCATATCCTGCGACGTAGGATATGAGGCGTGAGAGCATCATAGACTGTGCGCATGGATCCCAAAGCTAAAAAGAGAAGAGTCGATAATAAGACTGGACTAAGAATGAAACTTAACATTTGCTTTCAGTCAATGAGGAAGGCCTGCTTCATGTTTGCGATGTAATGAGAAGTTTCTATGAAATAATTGTATCTGTACTTAGAAACTACAAAAATGGCCGCTCGGGGTGGAGATGAACCTGTGTCACCTGGATGGGGGCGTGGTCAAAAGCACCTCATTTGCATTTAAAGAGACAGCACCAAAACAGGTTGCTCTCAGACGCACTTCAGGACAGGTGTAGAAGAAAGGCCCGTGGAGCTACAAATAATAAGACTCAGACCCAGGCATTGCAGTTATGCTTTATTATAGGCCACAAATTAATGATTTAGATGTAAAAATCAATAATTTGAAAAGACGATCCAAAAATATTAAAAAATATAAATACATGTGCAAGAATCCCATAGTGTGCACCAGACAAAGTACATAAAAATAAAACAAGCCCAAAAAGAAGTACAGAAAATGAAGTAAAGAAAAAAATCATAACTGTGAAACGAATCATCAATACACCATACAGGATACATAAAGTGCTTTGCTCAGATGATAACAAATGAAAGAAGCTGGTCTCTCATCTCTGGTTCTCTCTCTGGTTCATCTCTGGTCTCTCTTGGTCTCTAAAGCTAGAGTGTAGACTTGCGCAGGCGTGGCTTACGTTTAGCGGTTGCGGGCTGTGTTGGTCCTACGTAAGCACAATTGCTGTTATACTGGAGCGTTTCCCCTTACGAGTTTTGAGGAGATGTGTGTAATTTTTTCTTTATTTTGTTATGTGTTTTTTTCTTTTTTTTTGTGTATTATTGTTTTGTTTTTTATTATTTTTTATTTAATCCCACAACAAACCACATGATGGGCCGATCACATCCTGGAGCGGTCTTTTACGCTGCTTACTTTGTCCTTTCAGAACAAACAATAGCAACAAAGCTGTTTGAGCTCATTACACGTGTTTCTACGGTTAGGTTGAAGTGAGTGGTTTTATGGATTCATTAGTTTTTTAGTCATTTAACGGTGGTGATGCGGTGAATAAGGACACAGTTCTTGTTGGAATAAAATAAGTTTTTATTACATAGTTTTTGACAAACAGCCAAAACCTATAATAGTGGTATATATCTGGTGACAAACATGAACGATTTACGAGGTGCTGGGAGGGAAAGCAAACAAAACGCAGCTTCGATTCAAACAAGTACAGGAACTGTGCAAAACATAACGACGCACAGGTTTAAGCTATTATATATGTTAGTTAGTCCACAGTTTCCTGTATATCAAGGCTTTGAGCCCAAACTGCGTTTTCTGCCACAAGGCCCAAACTCTCGGGCTCAATAGTGCCGCGCCATGTCCCTGCTGCAGCCAGCTCGGGCTTCCTTCCAATACCACAACACGGGGACCAATCAATCCTATCCAATCCAATCCACTTTATTTATTTAGCACATTTTATTAAACTATCAAAACGTTTCCAATGTGCCTCGAACAACAGATAACAATAAACAAAAACAATACAAATTGAGTTCCACCAAATAAAATTGAAATCAGCGGATGCTTCCTTAGGCGACCATTAAGTTGTTAGCAAATTTCGAGGGCCTTGCGGTGATCCAACGCGTTGCGCATAGTGACGTCACGTCACATCCGTAAGCTCCGCGCCGCGCGTGTATATACTTGGCTTAAGTGTTTTTATTTTTTTTTCTCGAAAGGCTCTCTAACAAAAAACACACTTCTTCAAAGTGAAAAACACTTTTGCCTGAACATATATCATTTTCTGTATGGTCTGTGTGGGCCAGTTCGAATACTAATTTAATAATATCTTTCCTGGGGGTTAAAGATAATTCTTTGGGTGCCGGATCCTGGCCCCCGGGCCTTGACTTTGACCACAAATTGCCATTGAGGAGAGGACCATGTCTCTCGGTCTCTCTCTGATCTCTTGTGTCAGATTATAACTGCTTGTGGAAAGAAGTGCGTCTCTCTCTGGTCTGGCTCTCTCTGGTCTCTCTTTGGGTCTTTCTTCTGGTCTCTTTTCTGGTCTCTCTTTGGTCTCTAATCTCTATCTGGCTCACTGGTTCTCTCTTCTGGTCTCTTTCCTTTTCTTCTTCAAGTTGCTTTCTTTTTGCCTTTTCCCGATTTCTGTTTCTC